GCGAGGAGAACCGATCGGGAACACCTCTCCAGTGTCCTTCAGCGTCACAGTGTTAGCGTCCAGATCTACCACGGCTCTGAATTCCCGTAGAGCGTTAGTCCCTAGGATAGCATCCACGTGTAGAGTATCGACGACTGCGAACGGAATTCTTCTCTCGACGGACCCTAGCGTCACCGGCAGGTCAATGACACCTCTGATGGAAATAACGGATCCGGACACTCCCTTCAGGCTTCCAACATAGGGCATCCTTGGAGCGTGACTTAGGCCTAGGCGAGCTAATACGCGGCTGTGCACCAGACACGCTACTGCTCCCGAGTCGATTAGTAGTTCCGCAGGAGTGTCTTCTATGAAACCCCACGATAACGCTTCTACTCCGCCAACAGATCCAATCACACGCTTGCCGTTCGGGACCACAAAGTCGTCATCTTCGGTCGAGGTGTCCGCCATAGAGTCAGGCACTTCTCGGAGACCAGGATTTCTCTTCGGAGCGGGTCGGTCGGCCACAACGCTCACGTAACCGTACAAACCATTTTTCGAGTCTCCCGACGAGCAGCGTGACCCAATAGCTTCGGAGCGTCGGCTGAAAAGAGATGAACAGTCAAAACTAACCCGTTTCGCGAGGGGTATCTTCTCAGGGTCAGGTTCTTTCGGACGACATTTGCGGCAAGGGGACCTCCGCTCTATGATCTTCACGCGCTGTTTGTCTCCTTCCTTCCTATATAGCTCCATGATTCTCCGCACCAGCAGATTCTCCAGCTCGACTGCAGACGGATCAAGGAAACGCTTGAGAGTGTCCCGAGTCCTGGTCTCAAGGTCCTGCTTCCATACAGGAACGCTTCCCTCTTCCATCAGTTTCTCGGTCCTCAACTCTTCAGGGCAACCGGGGCACAGCGATCCTTTCTGAATTTCTTCGGTCTTCACGAAATAATAAACAGTCTGCCAGATTAGAGCACGCCACCGCTCAGGCACTACTCCGTCAGAGATGAGAGCATCGTGGTCCTCCGCGGAAGCACCAGAGGGGTTACCCGGTTGTCGGTTGAAGTCTAAGGCGATATTGGTCTCGATCACGGTAAGGTCCACGACTTCCGGTTCCTCTGCAGGGGTTGATCCACTCGATTCAGGAAAGTGAACGGTTTCCACCTTAATCTCCTTGAGGGGACACACTTTGGGAATGGTTCCTCCTCCCTCGTCTCGGCCATCCGAGTCGGTCGTCACTACGGGATCGACAGTGGTTTCCACCTTAATCTCATTGAGGGGAAACACTTGGGGATCGGTTCCTCCACCCTCGTCTCGACCATCCGAGGCGGTCGCCACTACGGAACCGACGTGATCCGGGGGTTCTTCCTTGAAATTACGGTTGGCACGCTTGGCCGCGCCCGTCGAGGCCAGCGTCTTGCGATACCACTCCAGCCAGTATTCAGGGGTAGACAACCGTCCGGGTGAAGACTCACGAGTCCGTTCCAGTTTCTCCTCAGGAACGCCAAGAAGTGTACTGAGCTCGGCTAGGGACAGTTCCCTAGACCGTTCAGCGTTCTCCGCTTGTCTACGTTTCAGCTCGACCTCGTCCAGGGGAAACAGTCTATCTTCGAGCTCTTCGTCATATTACTCCTTCTCTTCAGCTGCTCCAATGTCCTTTCCTTCTTGTAGGGCATCCAGTTCCTCCTTCGAGAACACTCGCGCGTACGAAGGCATTATCTCGGGTTCTTCGGCAGCGGTTACGATCTCTTTAACGTCTCTCTCCGGGCTAGTGTTCTCTTCCAGGCTAGTCTCCGAGTCCGTTCTTTCTAGTTCAACGCTACCGTCTGGAATGCCTTCCTCAGCGACTATAGGCTCTTCCGGTTGGGTTTGAGCGAACACTTCTCTCTTTTCTTGACTGTGTCCGCTCCGACCCAGGTGACTCCTCGGGTCGTTAATGATGTTAGCGAGCTTACTCACACTCGACTCCACATTCTCGTAGTTATCCTTCACTATTGGGGCTCCTCGTTCCACTGCGTTCTCAGGTTGTAGTTTTATCTCTCGCAGGTAACACGGTTCCTCAGTTATTGTTTTCTCGTTGCGTCGGCCACTCATCTCGTTACTGTTACTGTCTTCTTCTTCGGCACTCTCTTGCACTGCACTTTCTCGTTCCACACTCCACTCTTGGCTTGCTCCGGGGACCATCGACGCACCGTCTCGTACGGGCTCGAGGGCTCCAAAGGTCATAGGTATTCCTTGCTCTACTTTTCCAGTTACACACTCTCTTTTTTCAGGCGATTCACACTTATCCAACACGGTGGGTTTTACTCCACCCAGCATAGGACGCACTTCATACCTCGCGGCCGACTCCTCCAAGGAGTTCAAAGTGTTCCTACTTGTGTCGTTCCATTGACAAGAGGAAGGAGCGACACTCCCTTCCCCTCCCTCTCGCCCCCATCACTGCTGTCGGGGCGCTTGTCCTTGGACTGGTGTAGACACTTGAGGAGCAGCCGTTCCAAGAGTCTTCAGAGACGCCTTCAAAGGACAGTCCGAAAGCAAGTGACCAGGTTCGTCACACAAGAAACACTTACGACCGTTCCTCGGCGGGTTGTTCCGATAACCGTTCGTAGGAGGATGTTCACACTCGACGCTGATATGACCCGCAGCCTTACAGTTAGTGCAAGTCGCCCTACCTCGGCGACAGTTGAGCCGGTTACATCCAAGAACGTGACACCTACCACACACAATCTGACCGTCTTGAGTGTACAAGTCCGGGCCATGACGAACGCCACGGAACGGGGTAGTAGGGGTGGTCGCGGCCGGTTGAGCCTGAGATATCGGAACACTCTGAGCAGCAAGAGAGTAAGCAGCAGCCACATTCATGGCAGGAGCCGGGTAAGCAGCAGCCAGAGGACGTTCCAGCAACTGTTGCTGCTGTTGCTGTTGTTGCACTAGCAAATTCTGGGTCTGTTGCATCATGTTCATCATCCGTTCCAAAGCAGAGTTCTCGGTGTGAATCGTCGAAGTGTTCTCGAACTCATCGTCGTGGTCAGAAGGGAGATGCATGTTCTTGAACAGTAACTGCGTTACAGCACCACGGATAGAGTCAATCATACTCCCGTCGAGAGCGGCTCTCCACTGCTTGTTTCGTAGTCCCGTTAGGAAGTACTGGTAGCGTATTTGCTCGTCGTAACACTGAGCGTCGTCACACAAGCCCGAGATCATGTCGCCCCACACTTCGGCGGACATTCCTCGAGGACGCTTAGTGCTCTGGAGCTTCTCGATCAGCTGCAACGGGGTCTGGCAGATAAACTGGTTATGGAACCGGGTCCGGAGAGTATCAAAAGAGTTGATACGAGAGTACGTCCACCAATCCTCACCAGTCTTGCCCTTCAGGCACTCGCGGAAAGCACTGAGACGAATGGATGCCTCCAGACCCACTGTAGCACGCTCAAAAGAGTCCCAGAATGTCTTCGCCTTCTCGACCGACGCTCCATCAGAGTAGAGCGGCTGAATCATGCGGATAGCGTTCCGGATGTTAGTAGGCATCCCGAAAGGCACCACTGCAGCCGACGGCGCGGGATGACTGTACCCAGAGGCGTAGTTACTGCCATAACTTCCGTTAGGGCCGCTCCAAGGAGCTCCTCCAAGGTTAGCCGACGAGTAACCAGGCACAGCGGTCCCGTATCCTCCAGACGGACCAACTCCAGCAGCAGAGGGTTGAACAGTCGGACCGAACCCACTCGTCGTCGGGGAAGTATTTACCGGGCCTGGACCTTGGTTAGGCTGAACAGTCGAGAAAGAGACGGCAGGCGCCCCTCGTGCTGGAACTCCTGGAGACACTTGGGACGCATGAGTTACCACCGGGGAAAACCCCACGCCTACTCCTCTGCTAGGAGCCTGGGCGTTCCAGCTAGCAGCTCCCGGCCCACTCACCCACGAACTTGGGGCGACGGTCACGGGAGTGCTTCTCTGCGTCGCGTTCGACGTGAGGAAGGGATCAGCTCCTAGTCCCACTGTCATCGGACTCTGGATAGTGTACCCTTGATAGGACGGTATCGCCATCCGGACTCTCGCGGGGGAAGGGGTCACTTGCCCGCCGTTCGGGGGCACATTTCCCGTGTTTCCAGTGTTCCAAGGCTGCGAGGGCTGCTGCGAAGCACCAGGGAGGCTCGCCGCCACCTCAGGAGGCGCCATAGATTGGAGCCATCTACACGCGTTAAGCCAGCCTTCAGTCGAGTCGGTAGATCCGGGTGGGAACGCCACGAACGTGTCAGGGTTCGAGTCTTGAGGCACCGCGGGAACGCTCGTCGAGGTGTCTCTCGGGACCGAGCTTTCTTCAATCCTTCCAGTACCCGCATCCGGGCCACTCTGACCACGTACTCGGACACCGGCACGCTGTACCATAGAGTGCACGGCCCCAATACCTTCAGTAGTAGTCAAACTCGGTCGGGAGGGATCAGTTAGGATCTCCTGCGGTCCAGCGACCGTTTCTTCGTCCCCAGACTCGTCGTAGACGTCTTCGTAAGGGCCTTGCGCGGAAGACATCTCAGCCCCAATGTTTCTCCGTCGAAGTAGTAGTAGTACACGCTCTTCTGCGAGTCTTCACTCAAACGAGACCTTCTCCAGCAAGCAGACTACCCTGCTTCTCCACCAAGTGTCCTACACCACCTCTAGGGTCGGGTAGTCCGCGGCTGTTTAGGGAGTACGGTCTCGAGTAGTGGCAGGAACGGTAGCACAAGATAACTTAATACACCAAAAAGCTTCTTGTTTGTTTCTCTCACTCAGCTTAGGCAAGAGGTAGTAAATGTAAGACTGAGACTAATGAACGAGGGCCTACCGCCAACTCGCTTTCCTATACACGACACCGCTTAAGTATATCTTGATCCAAAAGAGTCCTTCTCCATGACATCCGTCCTCGTGCGGCGACAGGAAGGTCCGAGACGCGGTCCTCCTTGCGCATCCGGCCTTGTCCCCAGCCACGTAAGACGATAGGAGGGAACTCGCACACCGTTCCAGTACTCCACCGTAGCGTTCCAATACAATCACACCATAGCTTCACCAGTCTCCTGTGCGAAGTGAGTGGGAGCTTGCGGGGTCAACGGGAACCAGCCTCCCGCCGTCGCAGCACGCTGACCTTCGCCGAGGTCCCTTGTCACAAAAGCCGGCCCGCCAGCGCCTGGCACGACGCCTACATTCCCGGGTACGGGACACTCAGGCACATCTAGTGTCGGATTGCGGTCAAAGGATCCCTCCGGGATCATCTTGAAGCCTGCGTAGTCCACAGGCATCATGGGCCAGTCCTCAGCGCGTGGGAAGTGCGTAAGACCGAACGTGTGCCACAGCACAATGTCCTCCCCATCCACCGAACGGTTACCCTTCACGTAGCTCGGAAGACCGGCAAAACCTGGGTGTTGATTGGGCATGTAGCCGGCGCCAGAAGCACCGGTTGACCTTCCGGAAAAAGTGCGTAGCCCGTAGAGCGGCCAAGACGGTTCTTAGCCTCGCTTGACGCAATACGCCACACTCGCCCCTTATCCATTGCAGCCACACGCTGGGCATCACTCGCATTTTTTAGCCGGGTCGCTGTGCGAATGAACGCGTTGCCATGCGGATTCTCGGGACTGATCGGCAGGCGCTTGGCTTCCAATTCATCAACGTGGCACTTGTTGCCGTCGATGGCCACATCTAAGCGTGCTGAGAACAGGTGCTGGTAAAATGGTGCGCCAAGACGAGGAGCCATCTCGGTCGCGTACTCGTACTCGCCCTCCGGTCGGCCAGACGTGAACACGATGCCCGTAGCCTTGCATTCCAGCTCGATTCTCCCGTCCAGGTAGAAGTACCAGTAAAAGCCATAGTCGTAGTTACCGACTGTCCCAAAGAATGATACCACAAAGCGGCGCTGGCGACGCACTGTACTGGTAGGCGGGGACGCCAGCACATCCGTGTGCTTCCGGAGCGTACCGAAGTCCTCTTCGTGCATGCAAACAGCGTTTTTAATCACAAACGGCTCGCAGAAATTATCCACGACCGTCACGTCCAAGTACTGGATCTTGCCAAGGCAGTCACAGCCCAGAACGAGCGAATTTGCGAGACGTCCGAATTGATACTCGCCAGCATCGAAGTAGTTCTGCCAGTCGTGAGTGGGTGAAGGCTCACCGTAGGGCACTACCATCTCAGACACCGATGCGCGGTTCAGAATCTTACGCTTGCGACCACGGTCGTTGAACGAAATGTCATGTAAGGTGAGTCCTTCACGGCCGTTGAAGCCAACGCGGATCTCCCAGTTCTGTCACGACACGACGTTGTCCTTGACAGTGAAGCTGGCACCTTGGGGTTGTTTGATGTGCAGTGGCTTCATGTCTGTACGCATGGGACCCGTAATCTTGGGGTCCAGGTAGTCGCCCGACTCCATCGGGATGTGAGTGTAGCCCGTATCAACTAGCTTTAGCACTTTACGGTTCGTCAGATCAGCGTGCGCTACGAGGCCGTCGATCGGATGGCCGTACATGGCATGTGTGATCTCAACTTTAAGAAAGCTCAAAACACGGATCATACGGTTGCCCTCTTCGCCTTCGTAGCCGAAGACACCGGCCGAGAACTGTTCACCACGGACCATATCGAGGTCGGTGATGCCCCGCTTGGCCAGCGCAGCAATGTAGTCCGGGTCAGCTTTGCAAATGGAGTCGCCGTCCCAATAGTCCTGATCCAAGATCGGGATCTGGCCGTCGGTTTTGGGATCCAACTCTACCTCCTTGACAATGCGGCGGGCCACGACGTCCACCACGAAATCTCGCGTGACGTTCGTAGTCTGGTCGAGCACCAACACTCCGATCTCACGAGGGATCTCCGTCAGCTGACCAGCTTCAAAGAACTTGTCCAGCGTGGCGTGATCGGGCTCGAACAGCATCACGTACGCGTAACGCATCTCAGGACTTGAGTACCCGGCGTCCGCGAGTACTTGTTTCACTGTACGTACTTCATCGGCAGTGACGGGGTCAAGAGGATGCTTGATATCCTTGCAGAGTGGGTGGGCACTTGGAGCCATAATGGCGGCGTGGTTGTGGAAGGGAGAGGTGCAGGAGGAAGCAAATCCGAAAATGAGAGACTCGATAGCGGTTGCTAGCGTGTTCTATCCGAGCCTTGCGGCCGCAGTTGATGTTGAGTTCTCTCCATCTGGACTCCATAAGCGCCATGAAAATGATGTTACGCATTTTCATCGCCAAACATGCATCGCATAAAAGGCGTCGAAGTTCCAATGCCTCTCAGAGAACTTTGCACTTTGCAGCGAAAAACGCAACATAAAATGTACTGCGAACTTACTGGTCGGCCATGAAGATGCAAAGATCAGTTCGCTGCCGCAAACCTCGCCGCTGTATACAATTTGGAGCACTTTGCAGTCACCAAATCACCTAAGACCTTCACTCCCACTTCAACCAATCGACCATCATTCCTACCGCTAGCGCCTCAATCCACATTTTTTGTTCAAGGCTAACACGATGTCGGAAGCGAAGGATAGCGTGGTTGCTTTACTTGTGCGCAACTGGTCGTCTTCAGAGGAGGACAGCAAAGACCACAGCGACGACATTGCTGTTGGTGATGCTCAGGCGATGGTCCCAGCTTCCCTTAACACCCCAAGTATCCGTAGGTTGCCTACACAGCGTATCTTCGGCGAAGGCGTGAGGTCGACGGATCAAGTCGCAGGCGATGACCAAGATAATCTGCAAGTACACAGTGTTTCTGCCATAGCAGGAGCCCCTGCTGCTTTTAATAATGCGTTGGTTTGAGGATCTAAAGCGTCAACTCAACTTGATGGCCGTCGAAGACGTGCTTTCCAAGACCTGCTTAGCGATCCTGTACAAGACTTGCATCCCGGTCCAGGGCATCAACTTTATGAGGAACGGCCTGCTGCTTCGGTTACTCTTAACGCCCAGCAACGTGCAAACCAAGCACGCAAACCGCAATCAATCCAGAACTGGGTAACAAACTTCAAAGCACAGGAAGCCGTGCTCGAAAGCTACTCCTACACAGAGGTGCATATAGCCCCCTACGAAAAGTTAGGAGCGCGTGTCGCTGAGGCTGCAGAGCACCTTAGAACGTCATGGGGCTATACGGCAAACCACCGGACGATTCAAAGCTGGGTCGAAAGTATGCTGAAGGAGCACGTGCTCCATGAAAGAGAGCATGACGCTGAGACCGGTCAAGAACATGAACGCTCGGCAATCGAGGTACATGTACTGGTTACAACAAATTTAGGTATAAAGCTTACGACGCTCTTGGTTGTAGATTCGTATCCGAGAGAAGCTCACTGAAATGGTAGAGCAGCAGAAGGATCATCTTGCGACCAAAACATCGAATGCGGCAAAGCGGAAGAGAGACGGTGAACTGCGTGACGCTGGCCTTCGTCATCGTGAAAATGTAGCCCGAACAGTTTATGACAAAGAGGTATCTGAGCTGGGAGGAAGACGTTTGGTGCTGACAGATGACGGTGCTGTGGCAGGTTTGTTGCCCTCGATGATAAAGACTTAACTCCTCTTAGCACAATTTTATTTAGCTTCTAGCGACGAAAGTGATGGTACGAGCGTCACAAAGCGGCAGCGCAGAAACCCCAAGCACCAGCTCCAAATGGAACGCTTACTTGAAGAAGATCGGGAGCAAACGGCAAAATTGCAAGAGCGCCGCCTTGATTTAAAGCAGAATCAATTCAATGCTGACCTCGAAATGCGAAAAGAGGAGATAGCACTCCGTCGACAGGAACTAAAGTTGCGTCACACTGAAATCCAGAACGCAAACCAACAGAAACTAACGGAGATGGAGATGAGACAGCAAGAGTTCCAGATGAGACAGCAAGAGTTCCAGGTTGAGATCAAACGAAAACAAGATCAGTCCAACAAAGAGTTCGAATTCAAATTGAAGAAGTTGGAGCTTATGCTGAAGGACAAAACGATGGCTGTCGACGCCAAGCAAAGCAATAATTAATCCGCTTGGAAATGAACACCACTGAGGTACTCCTCTAAAGTAGGAGGCGAGCACGAAAAGTAGTCCGAACTCTGGTTACGTACGTCCCCAATGACAGGTCAGGCAATTCGTAAAAAATACAGCCATCAGCCAAAATGCTTCGACAGGCATCGCTTCAATTCTCAGTTGACGTTCCCAGTCCAGAAAAGCAAAGTTTTGAGCTACTTGAGCGTAACCCCATTCGACAGATACTCGCACTTTAGCCATGCGCTTGTTGAATGCAGTCGCCCACGGCGTCAAATTTCTTCCTCGAAACATGGTCATCATGATGTTGTTGTTGGGATATGCCGAGTCCGGGAAGACAAGATACTCGTTCCGTCGAATGACGTCATGGCCATCTAAAAACGGCAAGAGATTTGAAGCTCGAAGTATGTATCCATCTCCGCGTCGACCGTCTTCGCACCGGTAGCAGTGAAGAATTAATCCTGACAAAATAAAAAATATATAACTCGTTTCTCAGTAGCAAAGCCAAAAGAAAATAATACCGTCTGGGGCTTCAAGGGTCTGGTACTTGAAGCAGTGATACTTCTTATGTCCGCTGAACTGGGCTTGCTGGTCATGTGTTGGTCTGCAGTTTGCAACTTTCTTAACGTCAATAATACTCCACACTCGTAACTCGTCCGGAACACCACGCCGTTTAAATGCCTGAACGTAGTTTCGAAGTCGTTCGGCCGTTGTAGTTCGCGAAAACAATATTTGTTTTTTTGCCGCTTTCAAAATATGATGAATCATGTAAATGGTCATCCGGCACAGAGCTGATTTGAAGCGATCGTATCGAGCCTGGAGATCCTCTAGAGTTCGTGGGTAACTCAACCTTTCTAACAAAAGGCAGACGGCTACACTACATGTTAGGAGATTTTGATTATAAAAACTACAGCTGTACCTTCAGTTGCTGAGAATCGATCTCCATGCTCTGGTGTGATGAGAACGTTAGGGACCCTTAGAAGTATCACCAAGCGCTTGATACCAGCGTGGTCAAAGCGAAAGCTCTTTCGACAATCGGTGTCAGACATTGCGTTGAGGTCGAACGCCATCATGGGTAGTGTTGGCAAGTCTCGATGTAAGAAGTACCCCAAGGAAACAGCGACACGCCAAGCATAGTCCCCACCATATCTTTGGATAAGCAGTAGGAACTGCAGTGCGTCCTTGACTCGAAGCACGCGGCTTTTTCCTCTCCACTGTAAGGCTATCACGATTGCTTCAAGCGGCGAGTAGCGCCGAAGAAGACGACGCATGACTCGTGCTGCATACAGTTCTCTCTCTTCAGGGACGTCATCCACGTCGATGTCGTTCGCGATGAGATCCCGCATCGTGTCTTGATCCCCGATTCCGCACTCGAAACGCGCTCTCAGGTGCAAAATACAAAGCACAATCGCTCGTAACACGTTTTCACTTTGCACTGCAATTTGCCCACGAACTTTGTGTGTACAAGGACAGTACATGGACATGCAGAAACGTGCGGTAGGTTCGATGCAAAGTGTCTGCAAACTGCAAGCCTCAAGTCTTGCGGCCGCAGTTGATGTTGAGTTCTCTCCATCTGGACTCCATAAGCGCCATGAAAATGATGTTACGCATTTTCATCGCCAAACATGCATCGCATAAAAGGCGTCGAAGTTCCAATGCCTCTCGGCGGTACAGCGACGGACAGAATGTAACTGCCGCCAAAACTAGCAAACTGTTTACACTGACAATCTGCCAATGCCGAAGAAAAGAGCAATAAACAAGGATGGGAGGAGCGTGCACATGTACATAAAACAACAGCATTTACTGTAATTAGCAAAATCAGGTGTATCGCACAGGGGTTAATGGTAACTCCAAAATCGGTAAAGTTAATATTGTGAAAATATCACCTGTAGACCAGTTAATATAAAAAATATTACCTAATATTTTCTTCTGAGACAATATGATATTATTAAATATCAACTTAATATTAGTTAATACGATATTATATTTTTCAATGATTGCGTAATCGGGCTACATTAACCAATCATATGTCGTTAACGCTCAACTTGCTGAAATATTACTAATCAACCATGAGAGGGACAATTGTGAGAGTGACGGCAAGGTTGGCGTCGTGTGTTGGCACTGCTGAGCGGATTAATCTAGCGCCACAGACAGCAGGTTTGTTAGACGCACGATGTCGACGAGGAGATCGGTAGAGAAAAAGAAAAAATGTCTTGATTTCACTCTTCCAAAGTTAAACAGCTGCAAGGGTTTGCAGTTTTCCATCTCGATCGCCTTTGTCTGTGTCACAGTGAAATACTAGAGCAAATACTCGTCAGTCTTAAAGCCTACTGCTTTTCTAGAACCTGATCGAAAAAGTTATTTGGTTCACAGAAGGTAAGCTGGCAAGAAACGTACTTAAGTGGGAAAATATCATAAAATATCATGTAGTATCTAATATTTCTCTGTTCTCCGAGTTAATATAAAAATATTATGTTAACTTTTGCAAAATTGAGTTACTATTTATATTTAACATCAAAAATAGTACTATTACTATCAAAAATATCATATGATATTTGGTTACCAATAGCCCCTGGTATCGCAATCAAACAATTTCGTACAAAAAGTAGGATAACATTTTTCTGGCAAATCTTGCTCGTTAATCTTTTTATTCAATCAGTGCTGAATATTGCAAATGGCCGTTCTTTCATGTGCAGGTCCTTTTTGTTATCAAAATTTTTGAGATTTTGATTCAAAAACTCAAACCATTTGTGACAGTTACATTCTGTTTGTCGCTGTGCGGGAGGCGTCCAGATGGTGTTCAAGTTCAGCACGATTGGCCGCATATTGCCCCACGTCCAAGAGTAAATATAAAATTCACACGAAGGAATCCGTACAGCACAACAATTCATCTCCCACAATACACACGGACAGTCAATTTGGCTGTATTGTGGGGGAAAGACACTGGCTGCCAATGCCTTTCTGCCCCTGCCCGACTGCGCGCAGTGGAGTACATGTAGACGATGCTAGACCTGGGTGACACAGCGGTGTCACTGCTGCCTGGGGTGTCTTTGAGGTCGCCGGAATGTGGTTTGGGAGTAGTGTAGGGCTCAGGTGGTAGCCGCAATACGTGCGCCACACCACACTCAAATCATCCGTAGCCGCCGGCGAGCACTGCACCTGCGCGTGCATCACCGTTTCCAGCGCGTCAGCCGCCGGCGAGCACTGCACCTGCGCGTGCATCACCGTTTTCAGCGCGGCGACGCGAAAGGCCACCGCGTTGCCGTCGTTATCAGCATTGACGAGGCCCCAGACCTCGATTTCCCGGTCTCTGTCGACATCAGCAGCGCTATTCCACTGGATATGATGACGAAGCGGTTAACGGACCGCTTTGGAAAGCTATTCCGCCCCGAAGAGACAAAATGGCGGGAGCAGCGCACCTACAAACTGCAATCTGGAGCCGTACCGGCTCCATCGCGAACCATATCACTAAAAAATATGCTGGAGAGCGCGGTGACTGCTTCAGTAGAAGCTGCCTACCTGATTTGCGTGAGGAAATTGTCCCCAAGAGCCCTCGGTCGGACAGTTGCAGCTCGCAGGACCCGATCCCGGATATGGTGCCTTTGCCACTGTCCTCCACATCCGTTTGCGACTTGACGTCGGAGGCAAGCCAAGTGAAACCAAATACAAAAACGGAAGAACACAGCGCACGCGAGGGAACAATCTAAAATACGTCTATTATCCAGATTTTCAACTTGGTGTCGTCGAAGGACAAGAACACGATTATGTCCAGTGCGGATTCGAGTGGCGCAGCCCCTGTGAGCGACAACGAGGTGCAGGAGGTGGCTGCAAATGTGCAATCTATTCCAATCCGCTACGACCGCGCCAAAATCCGTCACCAAGCAAAGAAAAGAGGCGGGCGATGGCACGTGTCACGATCGCGCAAGCGTTGTAATCAGGTGAAGTGTGCCATAACTCGCAGCGGAAACAAGATCTACCATGCGAATACAGTCAAAGCAATAAATTCAAACTATAAAAGGTCTCTCGAGGTTAAGCTACGCCTAGTTAGCCTACACGCACGTCGATCTTCATTCACCGATACGAACTTGCCGAAGGAAACGCGGACCCTGCAAAAAGAAGTGCCGTGGCCGGCGGGCGTCGAAGAGATCTCGGGATGCAAGGTCAATGGCGTGAAATTCCCGGATACCTATATCCGGGGTATCTATATCGGGAAATTTCACGCCATTGGTTTTGCACTCCGAGATCTCTTCGATTGACGATTGCACGTGTGTTGGAGACTGCTTTCTCGATGTTTGCAACAACATGTTCACGTAAATGTTCTGCACTCCCACTTGTTCCAACCTCGGAGCAACGTGCAGCAACGCTCCGAGGACTCTCGAGACTCTAAAGCTGCTTGATACTGGCCGAGTAGGCCTTGGCGCCTACACTCCGACCAATCTCGACGTTGGGGACGTCGTTGGTGAGTACTGCGGTGAGCTAAGTAAGCTACCCTCGATTGTTACCGGCCAACCTGACCAGGCGGTGAAACGTAACAGCGGCTACACACTACTATACAACGCAAAATCTACCAAAAGAAACTACGTGCACGTCGATTGGTTAAAGTGTGGCTCTATTACACGCTTTATATCGCACGCCTGTGATCCCAATGCAGCATTCGTGGAGCAGCAGTTGCGCCGCCAAGTCAAGGTCCTTATCAAGATGATCAAGGATGTCAGGGCCGGCGCGCAGATTACAGTGCACTACGGCAATGAACGCTGGCTCAAGTGTACGTGTGACGACTGTTGGATCGAGCAGAACCAAGAGGAGGGCGAGGACGAGAACAAGAAAGCGTCGGATTGAGTGAAACGCACTGTTTAGTAAGTAATTAGCACCTTGCGTGTCCACAATGTCGAAAATGGAAACAAAACCGTTTTGATATAGCTCTCGGTTTTAAAAAGATCCTGTTTTGGTAGCACAACAAAACTTACACAGCGGGTATTGTAGCCAGAGGCATGTAATCCTACTAAACACTGTGTTTGTAAACAGTATCACCTGAGATAAAAAACATCAACATCACCACAAATTAAAATTTGTTTAAAAGGCAAGGAGACTTTACTTGTACCAACAAACAACATGTAAATAATGAAAAACCTCGTTTGAAAAGAAACAATCACACTTATATTGGCATATATATCAGCGGTCGATAGTTGTAGAAATCAAAGCACTGTATCACTATAAGCTCACTGCCGGCCCAATTGTACGCGGGTGACCAGGTACTGCCAGAACGGCAACACCTGACCTATTCCGCTTTCGTCAGCTTACTAAAACATCGCGACCACTGCTATCCACGTGAGAAGTGACCCGGAAAGCGAAAAGAATGTGAATGCATGAGCCAAATGCAAAACAATAGTCACAAGGGCCGCGCTGACGCTCCACATCCACCGACCAGCCCCCGGGTGGCTCTCTTTCATAATTTTTTCGTGCGTAGTTAGCTTCAAGCTGCGCAGACACAGCGATGCCTTCTTCGCTGCATTTGTTTGGAGCAACAGGTACACGCGGAGCAGGTAAGGAAACAACACGCAGCGTAGAATAGGCTCCAGCTCGCACATTGTCCACGTTTTGCCTCTCTGCAAGCCCCAACAAACGTGCTCGCACCAACTCATCCACTCTGTGGCGAGGTTTGGCGACGGACACACACCGAACTCGAATGCACGCCCGCTGCTGGATCGGTCTTAGCAGCAAGCACTGAGTTCGCGAAGTAGGGACCTTATTTTTAGCCGGCATCGTAGTGTGTAGTCGCGCTTTAAAAATGCGCTAAAGGTTTCGGCGGGATTGCTATTAGATGCGAAGTCAATAGAAGTAGCAAATACTTGCCAAATCCTGATTCGGCCAGTGAGCCACTGGTGATACATATAATTGGCAAAATGATGCAAAATGGGCTGTCAAGGCCACCGCATCAAAATTGCGCGCAGCATCTCCAAAAATTCAACCTCACCCCGCGCGAAGTGTAGGGCGTATATATCACGTAGTAAAGCAGCCGAAACACTTGTGGAAAATCATTTAATATGCTCCTGGACCTTCTCTCCTGACATGAAAGAAGCACACGAGGAACTGTTAGGACGAGCTCGCTCCAAGCACCGCCAAAAGGGCGTTGCACTGCGCCTTGTCGCCATCCGCCATAGCGAAGTTGACTAGTAGCTTTTGGTGTGATCCAGTAGTAGCGACGCCGCAAAGCAAGTAGCGCAGACCGAAAAACAACCTCAGTTTGTTGAGATATTACAAATAGAGCAGCAACGTGAAATTTACGGATACTCCGACCACCAGGACCGGATATTCGCATTGATTTATCTTGTACGTTGCCTCTAAATGTAGAATGGAGCTGTCGGTGGGCACCATGAGCCTCAGAATCGGCGCCTTTGTCGAGAGACCCACAATAAAGGGTCTCTCGTTGGAGCCGTTGCCCACAACGGGCTTGTCTCCATTATTGATTTGCCACCCAAACATGAGCGCATCCGTCATCTCCTCGGAGCCATTGTATGCCCGCTCGTTGAACCAGGCACGCAGGTCGTCCACGCGGTCGTGATTTTCTAGATACGTACGCGAGTAGCTGTTTACGAAATTCTGAGCACTCTTTAGGGATGGTAGTTCATCTAATGGGTGGTGGACTTGGGACAATGCATGCCTAATAAGCATGGGCAGCAGGTGGTTGTCGGCGAGCTCGCGACAGTAGGAGTTTTGAGTAGGTGTCAGCTTCTTGCGCCTAGGGGACTTGACGCAGGTGCTGTGCGTGTTGTACTCGAAGATCGATGCGTGCTCTGTCTCCAGGCACGTAACGATTTTCCCTCTGCAGGCGAACTTGTGGCTGCTAGCCTCGCAGCACGCCTCAGAACGGCACACAAGTAAGTGATAACGCATCTTGTGCTCGGCAAAGCGTGCACGCAATCGTTTGGCTTTTGTCGATGTCGAACGGCTTCATACTCTCAAGCATGTCGTCGGCAGCAGCGTCGACCAGGACGGCCCTCTCTTCCCAGGACACCCGCTTCGGCATGGTCGCTCGGGTAGATCTGGGGCGTATTGCAGCCTTCAACTGATGTGACTCACATCGCCAGCCACATTGCCTAAAATCGATCTCTGGTTGGCTATTTACAACCTACCCGCATCTCGTATGCGCACTTCCGGCGCATTGCAATGAAAACACTTCTTATTGTCAATAAGAAGTGTTTTCAGGCCTCTTAAAACTAGGCTTTGTGTTGCGAGAAAATACTGACTACCTAAACGAAGTTTTGACAGCCGCCTAGTTGAAACCGGAAAGTTCCATACAAACCACAAGTGTAAAAGCTAACCACCGCCTGCGTGAAGCCCCAAAGCTCTTTAAACAGCTCTGGGTGTTGTCATTGTTCTATAATTCTCTCATTTAAGTGGTTTCACAACCGCCCAGCGCCTGTTCATTGTTCCCTTCTTCTCTCATTTCACGATTTCCGCTATGGCTCCACAGAAGAAGAAAGGGAAAGCTCGTACTCCACTACTCAAGCCTCGTCCGCTGAAGCTTAAACAAGCCAAATTACCGCAGTCAGAGCCACGTCAGCGATATCTTACGTCGTACGAGACCGAACTTGGGCTCCAGCCAGTACCCACTATTAGTGGCGAAGTTTTAGAAGCACAATGCAAATTTTGTACAGCCTTTGGAAGGGAAGAGAAGCCAGCTTCTTCGACCGGGCCTTTTGATGTCCTGCTAGCGAAGGCAACACGTAAGAAGCCTGCAACTAAAAAGGTTTTCCGGTCTTTTCGCAGAGATAACATCGTCAGTCACATGAAAGATCAGCACAAGACTAAATACGATGAGTTTATCTCTCTTCCCAAAGGAAGTCGCGTTCGACTAACCTTTTTCGATCGTCCAGCAGGTATGGATGTATTTCTTGGCGGGACTTACAGTTGTCATATCGAGATCCCAAAAGGTGTAGTGGACTTAATTCGCGAGCTATACTTCAATGACGAAGGTGAGGACAGAGAGATTACACTCGCATCTGAAGAAGTTGGGCAATCCGACCTTGTAGATGGGGCGGAGTTTGATGAATTCTTTGAAGACACGAATTGCAAGCACCTACTAGTTATTTCTGATCGTCTCCAGTTTGAGGCTGTTATTAAGTTCTCGAATGAAATGGTCAGCTTTCGCTCAATTACGAATTTGTTTCGGATTATTGGCGACACCCTTCAAAACTACAGGCTTGGCCACCCATCTCAACATGAAGTTGGTCGATATATTCGCTCCATCGTATCTATTAACCTGGCTGCCCTAGAGATTATTTTTTCCAAGGTGTGGGGGGTTTCTCTGCTAGTTGACGGAGGTACCCATGGATCTGAGGGTTATTTCGACGTCCGTGTAGCCTTTGAATTGAACGGGAGCATTTTTAACCAACACTTACTTGCAATTCCTATGGGGACACTTTCTCACAAAGCTGCAAACTACGCAAAGCGAGTGCTCTTTGTCCTGAATAAACTTGGAGGAGACAAACTAATCCGAAAATTGATCGGTGTGGCAAGCGACGGAGCCGCTACGATGCTAGGATGTCATGGCGGGTTTGCAAAACTTATCGAACATGCATGCGAAGCGTAAGTTGAGGGTGGTCTTAGTGTTAACTGGTGTGGTAGTCACCAACTGAACTTGGTGGTTGGGGCTTTCATCGAATCTCTCATAGATCTCGTTGATTTCCGCCATATCCTTGGGCAGGAGATCACCTTCACGAGAAAGTATGAAAGTGTAAAGACTGTTATTGGTAGATGCCCCACTTACGCTAACACTCGTTGGGAATCAATTTCGGAATGCTGTGAGTTTCTATCAAGTAACTACGAGGAAATCATGCAGTTACACGATATTAAAGATGTAAAAGCACCAACTTTCTCGTGGTGGTTGATTCTTTTCGCAATTGAGGAGCTGGTGGACAAAGTCAAGCAATGCTTTAGATCAATGCAGTACAGGACCGTCACGATGAAGGACCAGTACGAAGCGTTGGAGAATCTTGTAAGGTACTTTCAAATGAAGTTCGAGGAGCAACTAGAAGGCGATGAGCCTTCGCTCTGTTTTGAGAAGATTTCCGCTCACATCCGAACCGCCTCATTTTTCTCACTTCCATTGTATGACGAGAAGATTGACGATATCGAGCGACGACGGCTAGTAAATGGACTTTCAAGTGCGATTGGCGGGTTTATTACTGGTGTTAATCAGATCAGGATTGAGGTGAAAGGGGCTGTGTCAGCTACTCTTTTGACGCTTCCTAACGACCTTGTTGCAATGAAAGATATGACCAAGTTTGGTCAGCTGATTTTGCCTTACAAGAAAAGACTGAGAGTCCAATACGGAAGTGGGGTGATCAGCTGCATTTGGAAGCAGGTCCGTAAGTTGCGTGAAACGTACGAGCTCAACCCGGACTTCAAGGCTTATGTCGACAGGTCTTACACCAAAGGTGTAGTCGAAGCATGGCGTATTGTGAACGGTTCTGGTGAGTATTCACGTTTAGTTTCGTTTGCGCTGGGGCTGGCTTCGATTCCACCCGGTACCCATACCGTGGAAGGTGATTTCAGCTCACTTAAAGGTGTCAAAACTGCCCACCGAGGATCGCTGACCAACTATGCACTTGAAGGTCAGTTGCAGGCAAAGCAATACTTCGATCTAATTCCCCTCGCGAACTCCATTGCAGCAGAAACTCTCATCACAAAGTGAACTTCGAAGATTCTAGGCTTTTCATACATTTCACCATCTATCCCATACTATCATCAACATTAAATACCACCCTAGTTCGTATAGTAAATAAGGCACGAAAAATCCTAGTTGAGCATCTGCTAGGTTTTTAGGTAGTACTGCCTAGTTTTGAGAGGCCTGCGCACAGCAAAGTGCAGCACAATAAGTTATTGTGCTGCACTTTGCTGTGCAGACACATGTATACGGTGCCAGTAAGATCACACTGTGCCATGATTGCACTGTTGTGTGTCACTACCATTCCCTCCACGTCCATCTAGTCACGGGCACTAATGTCGTTCAAACTGACTGCATTAGTTCCGAGGATTCCCGTTTTTTATACCGACAATCATTTTTTTTTGGGGGGGGGGTCAATGGAAGTTACCTCCCCCGCCACTCTTAGCGTAGCTAGGGGGGTCAATGTACCCTTTTTTATTGGGAAAATGATGTACCGTACACGTGATACATGTAACCATTTTCAAAACAGAAGTTATGAAACTTGTAATTTAGACCGGCGGGACTCAGCCATGACCGACCCTAACTTACCAGCATAGATTAAGTGAATCTGCAGAATAACAACGAGCCGTCGGGTGGCGACAGCAACGCCCATCGAGAGACATCATTGACGTCGACGTCAGAAGGATGCTATTGCATGTATTAACCCTTTAAGACCTGAGGTCGTCCTGCCACCGACCGTCTCCGGTGTTACAGCGAACAGAAAAGAAGCACCGATACGTATACCGGTAGAAGTGCACCACGTGACGCGTTCAGCTCCGCGCCACCCTCGGCCAATTACAGACTCACGAGAAAGGTATCCGCTATTAAAGAGGTGGTGGTGCTGAGAGACAAGAATGCTTAACCAACGCCGACTTCCGCGCATGCTCGCTCTCCTTGCCGGTGAAACTCATGGTCATTTTCCAATTGGCCTCTCCGTCGCACCCGCTATCTGCGCTTCAATATGACCCACCTCAGCCGGAACAGCGGTGCATCGCTCGACATCCTAGAGTCCAAAGTGGAGCCACCGCAACGACACTCCAAGGCGCTGCAGTTATGGGCTCTAGGAATCGGCGCCGTGATCAGCGGCGAATACTGCGGATGGCAATCCTCACTCGTCGCTGGCTTTACCGGCATGCTCATCGTGATGGGCATGATGGCGGTGCTGTACGTGACGCTGTCGTTCTCGTGTCAGCGACGATTCCCGCCGGTGGAGGCCCATACATCATCGTGTTGCATTCCATGATGGAATGCAACACGATGATGTATCCATCGGACCCCGTGCGGCGTTTTTCAGTGGCTTGGCGGAGACGCTCAAGGTGATCGCCGTCAACTCGTCGACTTTCTACACCATCTACTCGTATCTTCAGACGCTTTTCAACGTTGACCAGACGTTCGCTCCCGCGTTCTTCATCGCGTTCGGTATTCTTTTCGGTGGTCTCAATTGTACGGAGTTCAGGCGTCATTCCGGATGCAGGCTTGTTCAACGAAGCTCTGCGTGCTGTTGCAGCTCATCATGTTTTTCTCGGCCATCCCGCATCTGAGCTACAGCCGATGGGTCGTCGAGCAGAACTGGGAGAAAACGGATCTGATAAGAGCAATTGAAGCATTTCCGTACCCACGTGGTTATACCTCGGCATTGAAGAGCTACCGTTAGCCAGCGACGAAACAATCGAGCCTGAGAAGAGCATTCCTCGCGGGCTGCTCTTGTGCATCTCGACTCTTGTGGTCCTATTGTTCGGCACGGCAGTCTTCAGCTCGCTGATTGCACAGGGTGCTGCTGCTATGACCGAAGTGTCAGCGCCGCTCGTTACGAGCTTCCAGACGGTTTACGGCACTGGTGCAACCACAACCTTCGTCAAGTGAATGACGGTCATTGCGCTGTGTCCAAGTCCCAATTCGTACGTCTTCTTCATTGGACAGCTGCTGTTTACCATCGCCCGAGACGGGCCGTCTCGGGCGATGGTAAACAAGAAATTTGGGGTAGTAGCTGTCTGAGACGGCTACTAGTAGTATCACCCCAAATTTCTTGCGTACGAGCACCCAAGTCGCGGCACGGCGATGGGTGCGCTGCTCTTTGGTACCGTCAGCTGTATGCTCATCGCTGTCGCCCTACACTTTGCCATCGGCGACGACGACCTCGAATCCGTTCTTATAAACTTGACACTGCTGGGAGCACTGATCTCCTATATCTTTTAGCTGCTGTCGTTCGTGTACTTGCGAAATCGGCAGCCCGACCGATACAAAAGCCCTTTCCGGTCCTTGCTGGGGCCTAACTGGTTGGGCGGGGGTCTCCATCTCCGCTATCCTGTGTACAGGAGCACTATCCTTCCTGGCGTCCGATTGAGTTTACCCGGGCCTGGGTGTTTTCTAGGATCGAGACACAGGATCTCTGGGCCTCCGCCTGGTTATGGCCTAAGGAAATGAATGGAATCCTGAGTACCCAAGAGGCCTGGCCCCTCCTCTCGACCGTCGCATGATTCGAGTGACTCGTCTTGATTACCACTGAACATTTATCTCTGCACCTTTAGCTTGTACGTAGTACTGTACTTTGAGCGCTAAAGTATTAACGCCTCCGTCACACAATACCCATAGTTCCGGCTGCAACCTTTATAAACGTCAAACGCCAAACATGTAATTCAACTGCCCCATAAAGAAGATGTACGAATTGGGGCTGGAAGTCAACGCAATGACGGCCAACCACTTAAGAACCGTCGTCGTGGTCCCGTAGCCGAAGAGGGTTTGGAAACTTATAACGAGCAGAGCCGAGACGTTGGCCATGGCTGCATCAGAGTCGTTATGAAAGAAACAGTCCTAGGGGGACGTTCTTCTCGGGCTCGATGGTCTCGTCACTAGCGAGTGGGAGCCCCTCGATCCCCAGGTAGAACCACATGGCGGAGGGAATAGCGTGAATGGTGCTGTCCAGACTTGTAAACTCCCAGTTCTGCTCGACAACCCACCTGTTGTAGCTCAGATGCGGGATGGCCGAGAAAAACATGATGAGCAGCAACAGCACGCAGAGCGTCGTTGAACAAGCCTGCATCCGGAACAACGCCTGAACCCCAAAAATGTTCAAGCTCAGCAACAAAAAGCCAAATGTGACGACGAATACCGGAGCGAACATGACGTCGATATCGAACAGCGCTTGCAGGTACGAGTAGATAGTGTAGAAGGTCGACGCGCTGACCGCAATGCCTTTCAATGTCTCGGCCAGCCCGCTGAAGAATGCTGCACGAGGACCAATGGCATGCAGTGCGAAGATGTAGGGGCCACCTCCAGCAGGAATCGTCGCCGACAGCTCTGCAATTTAAAATGATAGCATCACGTAGAACCGTCACTATACACAAGATGAGCAGCATTCCGTCGAAGCCGGCGATGAGGGACGACTGCCAGCCGTAGTATTGGCCGCTGATGACCGCACCGATCCCTAGAGCCCACAGCGGAGGAGCTCTCGCGTATCGGTGCGGCGCCGTGTTGGCTTCTTGAAATGTCGACGGAAACACGGCACATACTTGCTAGTGGTTACTTGAATTCGAGTCGAGTTACTCTTGCTCGATGGGCGTGGGTACTCCTAGGATGATAGCAAAGTGAGGAGCTATTAGGCGTCGTGCTCATCACTGGAGCGAGAACGAGACAGTGCGCCCTCATTGGCTTGCAGAGCGCGTCATTTGTTCTTCAAGCTGCAGCAGGTAATACATGTTTGACATGAGATAATTACCAACGCGGACGCCTTATGGCGGCAACTAGGGGGCTCATTATCTTCTTCCCCTTGGCGCTACCAATGGCAGGGGTGCTCCAATTTTCATCATTATTAGCCACAACGACTGCACGGCTTAAAAGGAGGGCTTCTTGTCCATAAATAAAGCTTCTTTTTAACCCGGTGGTGGAGGTGCGAATATATGCAGCAGGTCAAGCTGAAGCGATCACGCACGATGCACATCATACACGTATCTGAAATTTCAGGTCTGTTTGCCCTGGCTAAGGACAGATACTTTCCTAAGGTTCTCGCCTACGAGCACCCAACTTGAGGCACTGCAGAGGGTGCCCTAGCCGTCATGTGTGAGGCCAAATGTGGCAATCAGCGTATGCGATTTGTCAATCAAGGACGATGGAGACACTGATTGGCTGAGTCGTGGATCTAAAGATCCATGTTGAGTCGACATGTCGCTTTAATAATACTACAGTATTAATTATCAGGCTGAAGTTGCATAAACGTGTCGCGGCACGACTATCGCCAAAAAACTAATTTTTAATAGAAACGCATATTATATCCTAAGAGACAGATATGCCGAAATCACCCCACTTGTGAGAAAAGGGTACTCGCTTAAATACAAGGGAATGAAGGCCGTTATGTAGAATCCTGCTACATAAAGCAGGAATCATCGTATGCTAGCCGTGTTGCATACTCTTGCTCGCGCGTGTCCAGCTCCCGTATTTTTTCGAAAACTAACTGGTAGCTCGAAGCAGTTTCTGACGAAGCTGCAGCGACGACAGCTCTCGTGTGTGGTCGCGCTATAGTTTGCGGACATTTTTTGTACTAAAGCTGTGTTTGTTCCGCTCACGTTGTGCTGTCAGCTTGAGCACGAGCTAGCTTCGACCACTCCTACATCGATGGGAGCAAGCTTCTCTGTAGTTTGGTTTCCACGACGTAGGATTCCATGTTTCGCTACAGTCTGTCTGATACGTGTAAACATTCTATTACAATTGAGTTGAGATTACGCTTGAAATAGCTACATGTAGTCTGTTCGCCAACGCATCACTGTTGGAGTGCCTGGAGGAAATATTGCCAGGTTGATGGCATTAAAAAACAGTAAGCTAGCTTTTTTTAAAAGATAAACACCACACTTTCGACAAACTCTTCATTAACAATATTTTTTAAACGCGGCAACAGTCGCCGCCTCAACTATTCGACAACTGCACTGCATTCTATCACACCTAATGCACTAACGCATGCGAGCACCTCATATCTGCTAGCTTGCTTCGCGCAGCTTGGCCTCACTTTCATTGCAGCCACCTCCAAATAGTGGTGTCAATCGACCCCTTAAGCACCGGGAACGGGCGAGCTCTTCTTCAGCTTCAGAGCCGCCTGCGCAGCCGCCAGACGAGCGATCATTACGCGCATCGGAGAGCACGATACGTACTTGAGGCCCACCTTCTCGAAGAACTCGATCGACTGCGGGTCTCCACCGTGCTCGCCACAGATACCCAGCTCGATCTCAGGACGCGTCGCGCGGCCACGCCCCACGGCCAGACGCACCAGCTCGCCCACGCCCTCCTGGTCCAGCGTCTCGAACGGATCCTTCTCCAGCAGGCCATGCTTCACGAAGTACGAGAGGAACTTGGCTTGCGCATCGTCGCGAGAAATGCCGAACGTCATCTGCGTCAAGTCGTTCGTGCCGAACGAGAAGAATTCCGCCACCTCGGCCAGTCTGCCGGCCTGCAGCGCGCCACGCGGTACCTCAATCATTGTACCAACCTTGTAGTCGAACGACTTGCCGTGCTTGTCGATCACGTCCTGCACCACCGACCTCACCAGCTTCACCTGCTGTTCCAGCTCCTCGATCGAGCCAACTAGCGGGATCATGATGTGCGGATGCACCGCGATACCCTCGCCCACCATCGTCACGGCGGCCTCTGCGATGGCCTTCGCCTGCATCTCCGTGATACCTGGGTGCACGATGCCCAGCCGGCAGCCACGCAGACCCATCATCGGGTTTGCCTCCTTTAGACTGGCCAGACGTGACTCCACCGTCTTTTTGCTCACCGTCATCTCCTGCGCCAGCGTCGCGCACAGCTCGTCAAGAGCACTGCCCTCGTGCGGCAGGAACTCGTGCAGCGGCGGATCCAGCATACGGATGGTCACTGGAAGACCGTCCATGGCACGGAAGATGCCTTCGAAGTCACTCTTCTGGAACGTACACAGAGCATCCAGAGCCTCCTGCTGCGCCGGAGAGTCCAGCTCCACAGCACCGATCATGCGACGCACGGCAGCGATACGCTGCGCAGAGCTAAAGAACATGTGCTCCGTGCGCGTGAGGCCGATACCCTGTGCGCCATGCGCACGGGCCTCGCGAGCGTCTTCGGGCGTGTCTGCGTTCGTAAACACCTCCATGCGGCGGTGCGCGTCCACCCACTTCATGAACTGCTCCAGCTCTCCGCTCATCACAGCCTTCTGTAGCTCCTGCTTGCCCAGAACCACCTCGCCTGTCGTACCGTTCATGCTGATGTAGTCTCCCTCACGCAAAACCACCTCGGCGCCATCCGCCGTGCTCACGCGCATCGTCTTGGTGTTCGCGTCAATCGACAGCGCGCTGCAGCCGCACACGCACGGCTTGCCCCAGCCTCGAGCCACCACAGCAGCGTGCGATGTCATGCCACCACGCGATGTCAGAATACCCTCGGCAGCGTGCATGCCACCGACGTCTTCCGGAGACGTCTCCTCACGCACCAGCATCACGTTCTCGCCGCGTGCGAACCACGCTTCTGCGTCTGCCGCCGTGAAGACGATCTTGCCCACAGCCGCACCCGGTGACGCCGGCAGACCTCGGCATAGTACGTCCTTCTGGTACGCCTTCTCGTTGGCGAAGCTCGGGTGCAGAAGCTGGTCCAGGTGTCGTGGCTCCACCAGCATCACAGCCTCCTCCTCCGTGATCAGCTTCTCACGCCACATGTCCACGGCGATCTTCAGAGCCGCAGGACCCGTGCGCTTGCCGTTGCGCGTCTGCAGCATGAACAGCACGCCGTCCTGCACGGTAAATTCCGTGTCCTGAATGTCCTTGAAGTGGGTCTCCAGGTTGTGCACCGTCTCATCCAGCTCCTTGTACACGACCGGCATCTTTTCCGCCAGCTCCGATATGGGCTGCGGCGTACGGATGCCTGCTACCACGTCTTCACCTTGAGCGTTCAACAGGAACTCGCCGTACAGCTTGTTCTCGCCGTTGGCCGGGTTACGCGTGAACAGTACACCTGTGCACGACTGGTCGTTGATGTTGCCGTACACCATGGCCTGCACGTTCACAGCCGTGCCCTTGAGACCTGTGATCTTGTTGATTTCACGGTATTTGACGGCGCGCGGGATGTTCCACGAGCGGAACACGGCTTCGATGCCCATGCGCATCTGCTCCCATGGGTCGGACGGGAACGACTTGCCGTGCTTCTCATACACCTTCTTGTACGTCTGCACCAGCTCCTTTAGGTCGCTGGCGGTCAGCTCCACGTCGAACGTCACGTGACGCTCTTGCTTCATGGCCGACAGCTCAGCCTCGAAGTCGTCGTGCGGGATCTCGAGCACTACGTCGCCGAACATCTGCAGCAGGCGACGATAGCAGTCGTATGCGAAGCGGTCACCACCGCGTTTGGCCACCCCCTCGACGATCTCGTCGTTTAGACCCAGGTTGAGCACTGTGTCCATCATGCCTGGCATCGAGATGGCCGCGCCCGAGCGCACCGACACCAGCAGCGGGTTCGTCACGTCAGCGAACGTCACACCCAGCGCCTTCTCCATCAGACGCACGCCATTGTGCACCTCGTTCATCAGGCCGTTTGGCAGGCGTCCGCCCACTGCGTAGAATTCTTGGCACACCTCCGTCGTGATGGTCAGTCCGGGCGGCACGTTCACGCCGTTGCGCGCCATCTGGCACAGGTTGGCACCCTTGCCACCCAGCAGCGACTTCATGCTGCCATCGCCCTTGCTTTCGCCCTTCACAAATGTGAAGACGCTCGAGTGCTGCAGCACTTGACTCATGCTTTCGGATGTTTCTGTTGGGGTTGCTTGCTTGCTTGTATGCTTGCTCTTGATTGAGTTAGTTGAGGAATGAGCTTGGACTGCAAGATAGTTTTTTTAATGGACATCGCTCTGAGAGCGAACTTCGGTTGTTGGTGGTCACGAAGTTTTCCATTGAGTTGCTGGCATCAACTTGTTTTGCGTGCGTGGATGTCTCTGATTTCGTGCATTCAGATACGCATCGCTGTGCCCAAGCAGGTGCTTCGAGCTAAAGTGGAAGCACTCAGAATACCAACCACCGAAGACAATTGGTGATCGCCTGCGTACTACGCTACGCAGCGTAGTGAAGCGTTTGGATACCGACGCTTCATGTTGAAGTGCTTCCAGCACAGAGATACGCATGCCACAAAAAACTACGTACCGGCGGACGTTCGATTTTTGGTTGTAGATCCGTCTAAGTACATCATTGAGGACACGCGTTGAATATCCAACTCGGAAAAGCTTCGATTGCTAAGGAGAACTTCTTCTCCGAAGCAATTTATGCTTTGTGTGCAATTTAAGTGAGCCGTTGGTAGGGTGTCTACACGTGAAGCGCTGCTTATAGTAATTAGATTTGAGTGTGTTTGGTCCATAAAACAGCTTGTGTCATGAGAAAAGAATACAAGTTAATCGGTGGAGCTCACAGTGAAAACTTGACGTACGAACCTGCTACTGAACAGCACACTCGTACAGTAGGTAGGTGGTCATCGCAAGTGAGAGACGCGCGAGCAAAACGTTAACTTAACATCTTAAAGTCTTTAAGATGTATAAAACTACAAACTAGAGCTTCAAACTTTAAATGTCGACGAACGAAGCTTTGAAACGTCATCTATGTCCTAGAGGAACCTATTATTATAGCCTGTTTTCAGTAATACGCAGATACTAGAAAGCGTAATTATTCACATGAGGCCGAAAAGATCCGCAGGTCGACGAGCTAAGTCAGCTTCAAGTTGAAGATTTCTTACATAAATGATACGAAGCTGCGTCACGCTGCGTAGAATTCTTGGCACACCTCCGTCGTGATGGTCAGTCCGGGCGGCACGTTCACGCCGTTGCGCGCCATCTGGCACAGGTTGGCACCCTTGCCACCCAGCAGCGACTTCATGCTGCCATCGCCCTTGCTTTCGCCCTTCACAAATGTGAAGACGCTCGAGTGCTGCAGCACTTGACTCATGCTTTCGGATGTTTCTGTTGGGGTTGCTTGCTTGCTTGTATGCTTGCTCTTGATTGAGTTAGTTGAGGAATGAGCACGAACTACCTGCGAAGCAAGATAGTCAATTTCCATTATTCTCAACAATGTACGCAGATGCAGCTCCACAGTGGGCGGACGCCTGCCAAACGGCCTGATGAACGAGGTGCACAATGGCGTGCGTCTGATGGAGAAGGCGCTGGGTGTGACGTTCGCTGACGTGACGAACCCGCTGCTGGTGTCGGTGCGCTCGGGCGCGGCCATCTCGATGCCAGGCATGATGGACACAGTGCTCAACCTGGGTCTAAACGACGAGATCGTCGAGGGCGTGGCCAAACGCGGTGGTGACCGCTTCGCATACGACTGCTATCGTCGCCTGCTGCAGATGTTCGGCGACGTAGTGCTCGAGATCCCGCACGACGACTTCGAGGCTGAGCTGTCGGCCATGAAGCAAGAGCGTCACGTGACGTTCGACGTGGAGCTGACCGCCAGCGACCTAAAGGAGCTGGTGCAGACGTACAAGAAGGTGTATGAGAAGCACGGCAAGTCGTTCCCGTCCGACCCATGGGAGCAGATGCGCATGGGCATCGAAGCCGTGTTCCGCTCGTGGAACATCCCGCGCGCCGTCAAATACCGTGAAATCAACAAGATCACAGGTCTCAAGGGCACGGCTGTGAACGTGCAGGCCATGGTGTACGGCAAACATCAACGACCAGTCGTGCACAGGTGTACTGTTCACGCGTAACCCGGGCCAACGGCGAGAACAAGCTGTACGGCGAGTTCCTGTTGAACGCTCAAGGTGAAGACGTGGTAGCAGGCATCCGTACGCCGCAGCCCATATCGGAGCTGGCGGAAAAGATGCCGGTCGTGTACAAGGAGCTGGATGAGACGGTGCACAACCTGGAGACCCACTTCAAGGACATTCAGGACACGGAATTTACCGTGCAGGACGGCGTGCTGTTCATGCTGCAGACGCGCAACGGCAAGCGCACGGGTCCTGCGGCTCTGAAGATCGCCGTGGACATGTGGCGTGAGAAGCTGATCACGGAGGAGGAGGCTGTGATGCTGGTGGAGCCACGACACCTGGACCAGCTTCTGCACCCGAGCTTCGCCAACGAGAAGGCGTACCAGAAGGACGTACTATGCCGAGGTCTGCCGGCGTCACCGGGTGCGGCTGTGGGCAAGATCGTCTTCACGGCGGCAGACGCAGAAGCGTGGTTCGCACGCGGCGAGAACGTGATGCTGGTGCGTGAGGAGACGTCTCCGGAAGACGTCGGTGGCATGCACGCTGCCGAGGGTATTCTGACATCGCGTGGTGGCATGACATCGCACGCTGCTGTGGTGGCTCGAGGCTGGGGCAAGCCGTGCGTGTGCGGCTGCAGCGCGCTGTCGATTGACGCGAACACCAAGACGATGCGCGTGAGCACGGCGGATGGCGCCGAGGTGGTTTTGCGTGAGGGAGACTACATCAGCATGAACGGCACGACGGGCGAGGTGGTTCAGGGCAAGCAGGAGCTACAGAAGGCTGTGATGAGCGGAGAGCTGGAGCAGTTCATGAAGTGGGTGGACGCGCACCGCCGCATGGAGGTGTTTACGAACGCAGACACGCCCGAAGACGCTCGCGAGGCCCGTGCGCATGGCGCACAGGGTATCGGCCTCACGCGCACGGAGCACATGTTCTTTAGCTCTGCGCAGCGTATCGCTGCCGTGCGTCGCATGATCGGTGCTGTGGAGCTGGACTCTCCGGCGCAGCAGGAGGCTCTGGATGCTCTGTGTACGTTCCAGAAGAGTGACTTCGAAGGCATCTTCCGTGCCATGGACGGTCTTCCAGTGACCATCCGTATGCTGGATCCGCCGCTGCACGAGTTCCTGCCGCACGAGGGCAGTGCTCTTGACGAGCTGTGCGCGACGCTGGCGCAGGAGATGACGGTGAGCAAAAAGACGGTGGAGTCACGTCTGGCCAGTCTAAAGGAGGCAAACCCGATGATGGGTCTGCGTGGCTGCCGGCTGGGCATCGTGCACCCAGGTATCACGGAGATGCAGGCGAAGGCCATCGCAGAGGCCGCCGTGACGATGGTGGGCGAGGGTATCGCGGTGCATCCGCACATCATGATCCCGCTAGTTGGCTCGATCGAGGAGCTGGAACAGCAGGTGAAGCTGGTGAGGTCGGTGGTGCAGGACGTGATCGACAAGCACGGCAAGTCGTTCGACTACAAGGCTGGTACAATGATTGAGGTACCGCGTGGCGCGCTGCAGGCCGGCAGACTGGCCGAGGTGGCGGAATTCTTCTCGTTCGGCACGAACGACTTGACGCAGATGACGTTCGGCATTTCTCGCGACGATGCGCAAGCCAAGTTCCTCTCGTACTTCGTGAAGCATGGCCTGCTGGAGAAGGATCCGTTCGAGACGCTGGACCAGGAGGGCGTGGGCGAGCTGGTGCGTCTGGCCGTGGGGCGTGGCCGCGCGACGCGTCCTGAGATCGAGCTGGGTATCTGTGGCGAGCACGGTGGAGACCCGCAGTCGATCGAGTTCTTCGAGAAGGTGGGCCTCAAGTACGTATCGTGCTCTCCGATGCGCGTAATGATCGCTCGTCTGGCGGCTGCGCAGGCGGCTCTGAAGCTGAAGAAGAGCTCGCCCGTTCCCGGTGCTTAAGGGGTCGATTGACACCACTATTTGGAGGTGGCTGCAATGAAAGTGAGGCCAAGCTGCGCGAAGCAAGCTAGCAGATATGAGGTGCTCGCATGCGTTAGTGCATTAGGTGTGATAGAATGCAGTGCAGTTGTCGAATAGTTGAGGCGGCGACTGTTGCCGCGTTTAAAAAATATTGTTAATGAAGAGTTTGTCGAAAGTGTGGTGTTTATCTTTTAAAAAAAGCTAGCTTACTGTTTTTTAATGCCATCAACCTGGCAATATTTCCCCTCTTCCCTTCCAGGCACTCCAACAGTGATGCGTTGGCGAACAGACTACATGTAGCTATTTCAAGCGTAATCTCAACTCAATTGTAATAGAATGTTTACACGTATCAGACAGACTGTAGCGAAACATGGAATCCTACGTCGTGGAAACCAAACTACAGAGAAGCCGAAGTAGTTCAAGCACCCTAAGGTTTTTGCATAAATAGTACCGTTAAGGGCGCTTGAGGATATGAGCGCCCTTAAAGTATTCATGATATTTTCAGAATTGTCAAACTTACACGTGAAATTTTAAATTCGCCGAAAATTACCAGTGTGTACACTACAATCTCAACTAAGTTCGAAGAATGCTGTTAAGTGCGATGAATAAATCAGTGCCACGCGTCGAAAGCTGTCACTCACGGGAAGAATTCTACCTGTTTTCCTGCTAGACGATCACTAACGGACGCGACAGTTGACTGAGGATCGCAACTTAAATGTCTGAAGGTACGTATCACAGCTTCTTTGCTATATTTGTGGTCATTACAAAAAAATCCCATGCTTCTGTTGTTTAGATGACATAGACGCCCTTTTCGAGCTGAGCTCTTCTTCTTCCGGGTCTGAATACGACGACCGTGATGTTGACATCACACTTGATAGCGATTCGAGTGATACGTTGCAGGAACTTTTGGACGAAATTGGTTCGTGCTGTATTGCGAAAAATTATAGTATATATCTATAGTTTAACTGTTTTTGATACTTCGGACAGATTCAAGCCGGGCCTCCAAGAGGAAAAGTCGTCTGCACCAACTAACAACACCTACCAAACGACGACGGCACGCTGAAAGTGACGGCTCTGGCGAGGACAGTGTCGCGGAGACTATTTGTTTGTCGTCAGCAGATAATGAACAGGGCAAAGACACAAACATAGCCGTCCAAAATCCTAATGTCGACCGAACGCCAAGGGTCAGACGCAGCAAGTCGTATCCCGAACGTTTGGCAATGGAAACGTCTCGTGTGAGCTTTGTAAACAAAGTTCCGCCGATGTGACAGCTCGAGTTTTCGACATGGACCGAGTTCGGTGATGTTATGGAGAAATATTGCAGCGAACACTTCCTTCTATTCAGTACCAGAGACTCACAGACGGTGAAAAAACACAATACGTAAGTAAGATTTATAATATAGTTTAATACTTTTAAATTATATCAGACTGACTAACAATAATGCTTGTTTTTATGTTGTACATTATAGATTGGTCAAGCTGCAGATACCAAACAAGATGCAGCACAGCTACAAGGTGTTTCGTTGTACCCATGATTGTCCTCAGAAGTCTCGAGGTAAAGGCTTGAGAAGTACGCCAACTAGATACACTGGGTGTAGAGCTAGAGTCACGGCCACTGTGATGAATACTGCAGACGAAGACCATGATCCAAAGTGGCGAATCGTCCTGCGGAACTGGGTAAGTAATTATTTGACAATGTCGCTGAGAGTACGAAATAGTAACAGTATTATAATAAGACATGGACCATCGTCGAACAAATGCATCAATTTACTCCAGCTATTTTGGAGCAGGGTCTGTAGCTGAAAATAGCATGGCAGCGGATCAAGTTGGCGTTCTTGCGGATGCCAACACGGGGTCACATCACATTCAAGAGTTTCTTTCCGGTGCTTTGGAACGCCACGTGACATCCCAGCAAGCACGCAACATTGTCAGAAAGGTGTTGCAAAGTACATCTGCTGACAAAAAACTTTCGGATATGCTGGATACCTTGGCATGTTCTGATGACAACGAGGTTCTCGTTCTTCAAGATCAGAACGACGTGACGAGTGGCGTTGTGATACAAACTGCCGTACAGAAGTTAGCGTTTGAACAGTGGGGAGAGACTCTTTGTATGGATTGGACTTATGGTACAAACAACTTGGGATTTCATCTTGGTAAGTTTTTTTTCATTTATTTTTGGGGCGCCCTTATCTCTATAGTTGAGCGCCCTTATCTCTGGTGCAGCACCTTTAATTATTTTTGTGTTTAATTCCACACAGGGAGTCTTCTTGTTACCAGTGCAACGGGGCGGGGTGTGCCGGTGATGAAAAAGAATCTACTATGGAGGCGATTCTTCAGTTTTTCAAGAGGAAGAACGAAGGTTGGGCACAAATAGAGACTTTTGTCATTAACAAGGACTTTAAGGGGTGGAGAGTGTAGGAGAGGTGCTTTCCCGATGCAACCGTACTCTTGTGTCAGTTTCACACTATGGCGAACTGGAAGAAGGTCGTCAAGCGGGCAAAGTATGATCTTACGGGCATTCAGCAAGATGAAGTCGAGTTTTCTATTAAGCAGATGATGTACAGCACTACAACAGCGGCTTACAATAGATTACGAGATGGATTCGAAGGTTTGCAAGGGCGAGTGTCCGGATATTTGCAGCAATCCCTGTCCAGAGATTTTTCAGTATTTCCAGGAAAATTGGGAGTGGTGTAGTGATATGTGGGCCAACCATGCGCGCGGAAAATACTTCAAGTGAACATTGTGAATCACTTCTTGTCGTCTATCCGAAGAACTTCCACACAGTCCCGTCCTGTTCAAACCATTCCTCTTTTTTTGCAGCGCGTTGCGGGCCATCTTTCGAACGATACGCTGGCGAAAGTTTCGTCTCAATGGGACCTGTTCATGGTGAGCAAATCTGAGGCCACCTGTACGCAAATAGGACCTACTCAAGCGGAATGGAAAGTGTATTTAGCTGGACAAGAAACCATAGTAGACGATACTTTATGGTCGTGCAGTCGCCTTTTTTACAAGAGTCGGCGACTGCCTTGCCAGCATATCATGACGGTTGCCAGCAAAGGACATGGATTCATTTCGCTACCTGCGCTAGCAGTGCCCGCACGATGGAGTATGAAAACTACTGAAGAACTTTACGACTCACTGGAAAAGGATTTGAAGTCTGTTCGCCAAGTGATTCATATGGTGAAGGCTCGACCGATGAACTTAAGGGCGCTAAAGCCCATCCTGCACCCTTAAAAAACAGCTTCACCTCCAAAGCGCGAGTCGGAAAGCGTTGTGTGGAGTATGTTCGTCTTCGACGCCAAGAGGAAGGTAATATGGTAGTGCTTTCAGGTGCTGAGAAGTATGCAAGGGCCCAAGCTCTATTCGGACCAGTAATTGAGAAGCTGAGTGGGTTATCTACCTTTGAATTCTACGAGCAGATGAACAATTGGAAGTCTTTCACCGAAAAACAACTTGGTGATTGTGCTGAGAACACATTCTCAACTGGTGCAGATTCTCCTTTTACTGGAGCTGACAGCGATTCTGACAGTATATTTGATCCGCTTGACATCGCAGATGTGATGGCCGAAATGCAGGCCGATCAGGAATTGGGAATGGAGGGTGAGTCATTGGCGGTGTTGGCACGAGAACGAAAATTTGCGAATGGCGAGCCTTCCCATCCTCCGTCGGAAAAGTCCGAGCTTGAAGCCACCCAATTATCCGAAACACCAAAAGAAGACAAAAAAATGTATGGCGAGATACACACGAAAAGTCTATTTCGAACAGCAATGCTTTGGAATGTAGCAAAGGCCGCCGCTGTGAGGACCAGCTAAGCGAAAACCAAAGTGATACGACCCAACCACTGAATTCCCGCCGTGTTGAAGTGATGAAACTTCCAGATCCGAAGCCTCGTACTCGAAAGAAGACAAGACAGGGGTGGATTGCCAAGCAACCCAAGTTGGCTGTTGTTCTGCTTTCATCGAAGGTTACTGTATCGCTGACCCAGATCATCCAGTGGGCTAAATATTACCCGAATGTGGAGAAGGTGTCAAACGTGCTCGACCAGTATCCTGTTCGCATGGATGACAAGTTTCTACAAGCCCGTCCTGTTACGTGCAAAGTTGCTGATGAAACCAGTGGTGACATCACAAATGACCATGCATTTGTCATACCTGCCTCTCTCTTGAAGAAAGCGTCTGCTGCAATAATCTTAAAACGCGAGGAGCTGCAAGCGGCAAATCAGGAAGCTCCGTGGGGTATGCTGGTCTCATTTGGCTCAGAAAATCTCGTTCTACACAGGTGGGTATTTTTTAATATTGATGGGTTAAGGGCGCCCTTTATGTGTTAAAGGCGCCCTACATGTGTTAAGGGTACTTTTAGAGAAATAAGGTTGCACCAATTTACACAAACATTACTAACCCCTGTTTGTATGGAGCTTACAGCACTTTCTTAAACAAAATTGAGAATTTTTACGTACTCAAGGCAAAGGCCAGGGGATTTATCGAGGATATCAAGTGGCTGAACCAAGATTGGCGCCTTGTTCAAGCCCATCCAGTCGAACCTTTTTCCTTGGAGGTTAAAACAAGTGGACTACTACATTCAGAATCTGCAAAGGTTCACCAAGCTTTGGCTGAAGACGTGCTTCAGAGATATTCAAACTGTTCGCTGATGACGATTTTGAAGAGCAAGTCGGGGTCCGCTTTCGTTAATTTTATGGATGTAGCTGCCATAATTCCTCGCAACGCAATGCTGAACGACGCAGTAATCGGGATGGGGATACAGATGATCACTGACACGGTTAAAGGAGCTGTTGGTTTGTCTTCGTTGCTGATATGGCCAAACCAGCCAAAACAGTGGCTATCGGAGACACCATTCGTGATTTTGCCATTGAATCTGGATAGTATTCACTGGGGTGTTATCATCGTGGAGGTGGCGTTTCCAACAACATTACGCGTACATTTTTACGAGCCTTTGCACCAACGATGTTATCGAAGAGAGATGAAAAATGCCTGGAAAAACACATTGATGCCATATTTGGAAAAATGGCACACAGGAAGTGGGGCCAAGGAGCAATTTCCCAAAGAAATTTTAAAAAAGTGGATTGACGAGCCTACTCAGCCCGATGGCACAAGCT